CCCTCCCCTCCCGTGCCCCCCTCCCTCTCCCCCTCCGCTGGCCTCTTCCTCGCTCCCCCTCCTCCCCCTCCCCCCTCCCCCGCGGCCGCATGGGGCGGAAGAGGGCCTTCCCGGTGGACCTGCCCCTGCCCAAGCTCCGCGCGGCCCTCAAAAAGCCGGCGGCGGCTGGCCTGTCCACTTTGATCGTCGGGTGGGTGTAAGTGCGGTAAGAGCGTTGTATATCCGATGAAATCGTTTCAACGAAGATGTATGTAGGTTCATGCTAGTTGACCTCACATATTCAACATATATAAAATATCGAACTTCGCATTCATCTACTTAACGTTTTGTTAGATAAGTATATTCAACAACATGCCATACGTACTACTCACAGAACCACCCATCTTATCAACTGAGCTATCGGGTACCACTGCCAAGATATATCGATACATACACCTCAACATACCCAACTTAGTAGCTAAGTCAGCTAAGTCGATGTGGGCTGTCCGATTCGGTTAACCCGAAATTTGCATAACTTTCTATGTTTTGCATGTTTGTTCTTGATATTGCTATGTTTCGGGAAAAAACCACAAAAAACGTTTTAACAACTACAACACAACAGTTTTTCAGGACAGGGCGCCGCAGGTCGACGCGCCGAGCCGCCCTCAGGACGCCTGCGGGGCGCGGAGGGGAAGGGGGGAGAGGGAGAGGGGGGGGGATCAACTATTCTTCAAACTGCCTCCCCTCGGCGGCCATCACCGCCTCCCCTCTCCTCTCCTCGTTGTCGGCGGCCAGCCCGCCCCCGCTCCCTCCTGCCGCCTTCCCTCCCCGAGCCCGCCTTCCTTCTTCGGCGGCATATCCGCCCCTCCCTCCTGCACCTCTCTATCGAAGGGCGGCGCATCCGCCAGCGGCATATCCGCTCTCGCATGCGCTCGTTTTTTTCCTTTTTCACGTGATGGCGAGCACATAGCCATCGTCCTGTAGTCGCCGATAAGCCGCCCAGGCTGGCGGGATCAGCTCGGCGGGCATCACGGCGACGTCGCCGCGCGGCCGCCACAGGGACGCGCCTGGGCATGGCGCGCGCACCCATTCCAGGGTCTCCACCAGCAGGTAGCTGGCGGCGCCAGCCTGCGCGCAGCAATGCACGATGTACGCCTCGCCGTCGCCCAGGAGAAAATCCTGAGGGCAGCAACGCCTCGATTTTTGGGGGGGCACACGCATGTGCACCCCTAAATACCAAGGTTGGTTGCGCCGTCTGTCCTGGCTGCCGTGCATCTGGCCGTCGATCGACGCCTCTCTGCTGGTCCACGTTTCAGCCCTGCGGAGGGGTCCTCCTCCTCCTCCTCCTCCTCCTCCTCCTCCTCCTCCTCCTCCTGGCGGCGAGCCGCCTCGGCGGCAAACCGCCTTCCCCTCTCCCAGCCCATCTTCCTCCACAAAGGGCATGCAAGGTTGCGCCCCGAGTGCCCGAACGTACTGTCCAGCTCTGGCGTGCGCCACGCTTTGGCGCGGGAGCGCGGCGCCTCCTTCGCTTCCTCCAGGAAGCAGGCGAGCATCGCCGTCAAGGCCGACCGCTCGAAATTCTCAGGGTTGTCGATCTCCTGCGACCTGGACCGAAGCAGGTTGTGCTTCCGCTCGAGTACGAAGGCGTCCAACCAGATGCCGTCCTCCGCAGGCTGGTCGGGGACGTGCCACAAATAATGATGCTTCGGCTTGATCAGGGCTGGCCCGTGCGCGGCTTTGTGCAGCGCCAAGGAAATCGAAACGGCCTTGGTCCAGACAGCTATCAAATTCGGCACGGCGCCGATCCTCAGGACGTAGCCGAACCGCCTGCCACCTAAGCGCTCGAGGATGCGCGCGGGCCGACGCGGTGCATCCTCGAACGCGCAGGCCAGCGTTTGCGTTTCAGCTGCGGCCGCATGTCCTTTTGCCCTGCATGTACAATTCGAGCATCTTCGCCATCGCCTCGAACGACCGCGCCGCAGCGTTCGCCATGCCGCTGGGACGCAGCTCTGTGTGCACCCAATGACGAATCAAAGGGAACACGGCCAAGCAATCCGACGCCTTGCCCACGAAGTGCGACGCCTTGCAGGTCGCTTTCTTCCGAGCCACGCTGAACAGAAACGCTGGCGGTTTCCTGCCGCGTCTGCCAGTCCGCCACGCCGAGCAGCGATCCCGCCACGTTCCCCACGCGTCGGGGATGACATCCCTCACCGCCTTGAGGAGCGCAAAGATTTCGACCTGCAAGGTCCCGCCGCTGGCCAGCATGGTATGCATGGGGTCCCTCACGTATGTGCTCGGCGGCGCCACCGTCCGCAACGCCTGGCACGCCACCAGAGAACGGTCATCCAGAGTGATGCCCATTGCCGTCTCCTTCGGGGGCCGGAACATCAGAAGGGAAGGAAGGGGGGGACATCAGAAGGGGATCGATGGAAATGTTTTCCTCCCTGGCTCCAGTCTCTCGATGTTCGCTCTGGTTGTCGTGTCCCGCAGCGACGCCAAATCATCATATTGCTGCAAAAACTCGTCTGACGACAGCGGGTCAAAGCGCGACGAGTCAGCGCACCAGAGAGGCACGAGGTAATCATCGTCGTCGTAGTCTGCAAGACATTCCGCCTGATCCAGCACAACGTTCTTGCATTGCAAGCACGGTCTCAGACCTGCAGCGCCCTTGGTGCAGAATGTCTCTTTTCCAGCCGCCTCGTCTGCAATCAAGCGGTGGAACTTGGCGAAAAAGTGCACGCCGCCGATTGGCGCACCGTGCTCCGACAGACTCTCTGGGCCCAGGAACAGCGCGCGAAGCAATGCCCGCGCCACGGCCGAGCCGCCGATGCTCTTCTTCACGACGACGCGCAAGGTGCCGATCGGCAGCCACGCAACCTCCTTCTGCAAGAAGGATCCGAACTCGAGGAAACTCGCATACACCGCGAGCTGATTCCGACGATTATCTATCTTCAAGGCGTTGCCCACGCCAATGTCGTCGTAGTACAGCAAAAGCCTCCACGGCCGATCGCGCGACACAGGGAAACGGCGCATCGCTTCCCAAAACATTGAACTCCAGAGAGGGCAGTCCGACAGGAGCCTCGGCATCAGCCGATGCGGCAGCGCCACGCTCCATCGGAAAGGCGTGCCGATCTTGGGCTGCAGCCGCACTGCGCTGATGAGATCGGCCACGGATGCCGTCTGCGATCGCTGCATGGCCCGAGCGCTCACGTCTATAGCATCGCCCGCGTCGTCGCCATGGCCAAGCGCAGTCACGATTCGCTCGAGCAAAGCCGCGGACACGCCGCGCAGGGCCAGACACTGTTGCAGTCGAGCCCGCTGCTCCACCTGCTTGTCCACCTGCAGGGCGCGTTTCCCCATTGCGCCGACGCCCGCGCGCGGGAGGGGCGGGGGCGGGGGGCAGCGCGAGGCCCAGCGCGGTTGAGAAAAACGAATTGCAGCCAGAGAGACGGAAGTGGAGGCGGGAATGGATCGCGGGGCGGAGTAGCCGCCGAAGGGCATGGCGGTGTAGCCGCCTGAAGGGTCGGGAGGGGCGGCGTAGCCGCCGAAGAGCGTGGGGGCGAGGGGGCATGGGGGGAGGGGGGAGGGGGGAAGGGGGTGGGTGGGGGAGATTGCGGAGGCGCGAAGTGAGCGTAGCAACGGAACTTGCAAGGGAGATTTCTTTTTCTCGCACGCAATTTCGAGCTTGAGTTTCAAGCTCGGGTTCCAAGCCGCCAGCGCTCGGAGACGGGCGCGGCTGGCGGCTCGAGCTCGGGGCGGGCGCAGCGCGGGACGGGCGCGGCGGCGGCTGGCGGCTCTTAGTGCGGGTGCGCGTGCTGCCTCCAACTCCTCATCCACCTCCTCCTCCTCTCCTCATCCTGCCTCCTCTTCCTCCTTATCCTCCTCTATCGGCCCAGCCGATCGCCGCTCAGCTCTCCTGGTGCGGCTGGCGGCAGAAGAACCGAATGCCGCCTGGGATGTCCTGCACCGTCTGCTTCGACATCTGGCACAGCATCTTGCCGCGCTCCTCGGTGCGGCGCGCCTCCTCCATCATGCGCCGCGCCTTGTCGATGAGCATCTGGCCCTTGATGCCAACGGCGCGTGCATGGCGGCAACGATTGCGCCACTCGATGAAGCGCACCACGATGGTCGCCCAGCTCCACGCACTGCCACCCGTGATGAGCTCGAAGTCATCGACGTCGTACTTGTCCGCGATGCTCGCCATGGCGGCGCAAGACCGCGAAGGGGCACGACCTCGAGCGGCTCCACTTGAGCCACAAAGACTACGGATGAGGGGTGGGACGGTGGCAGATCATGTCATTGGGAAACGCGAGAGAACGGTGCGAGCGCGGTGGGCAGCAAAGGCGGCATCTCCGCCAAATGAAGGCAAGGCGGCATGTCCGCCAAGGGCTTGCGAGAGTGGAAAGGCGGCATCCCCGCCAAACGAAGGGCTGCGGTGGTAACGAGTGGGGTGGCGATGGCAACGAAGAAATGTTTTTTTTTTTTTCAACAGCAATAACAATTGTACGAAATCACACACCTCGTCATGAGCGGCCCAACTGCCGCCCCTGCCAAGGAGCTGCTTCGCCTCTGCTTCGTCTCCGACCGCCAATCGATGGGATTCCCAACGGTGTCGCTGGCCTTCGCGAGCCACAGCTCGCGCGGTAGGGTCTCGGGCAGGACGCGCTCGAGCAGGAGGGAGTTATGCAAGCGCTTCGCCTCGCCAAGTGAGGCATCGGAGCGCGATGAGCAGCAAAGGCGGCATCTCCGCCAAATGAAGGCAAGGCGGCATGTCCGCCAAGGGCTTGCGAGAGTGGAAAGGCGGCATCCCCGCCAAACGAAGGGCTGCGGTGGTAACGAGTGGGGTGGCGGTGGAAATGTTGTTTCACCAACAATAACAATTGTACGAAATCACACACCTCGTCAGGAGCGGCCCAACTGCCGCCCCTGCTCACGAGCGGCCCAGCGGCCGCGGCTTATTCGGGTCCTTCTCCACCTTTTTCAGGCCGTACTTCATGATGTACTGGGCCACCATGGGGCGCTCAGGTGCTGTGCTTCTGCGCCTCCTTGAGCATCCCCGCGATGGCCCTCGCCGCCGAGCTCGCATCCTTCTGGATGCTGATGGCCTCGTCCTGCGTGATCGTCAACGCCACGCCGCTGTGCGCGCGCTTCTGCGCCACCGCCTTCATGACTGCCACAGACTTCCTCGCCGCCTTCGCGTTCTTCACAGCCCATGACGGCACCTTGTCCGCCTTCTCATGCTCGAGGTACCCGTCCAGCTCTGTCTCGAGCCTCGTTGCGGTGCCGATCCACTTCAGCGCCAGGTTTTTCTCCTGCGTCTCCTTCTTGGCCTGCTCGGCCTTCTCCCTCGCTTCCTGTCGCCTCCGCTCCTTCTCAGCGTCCTTATCCCTGCGGAGCCTTCGGGGTTGTCCGAAAATGACAACACTTCGAGCCGAGCGAAATCAATAACCCGATCCGAACCTGAAGAGTTGAACGGAAACCGAAAACGAATGCGAAGCCCAGGCGACACCCCTGCGTTGAACCCCCAAACGGCCTGCTCTTGCTCCTGTCCTTGCTCTTGCCGCGGCTCTTGCTCCTGCCCTTGCGGCGGCTCTTGCTCCTGTCGCGGTCGCCGCGCGAGCGGCTCCTGCTGCGGTTGGTGTCGCGACGTCTGTCGCGGCGTCTGCTCCTGCTGTCGCGCCTGCCCCTGCTGTCGCGCCTGCTCATGCTGCGCCTCCTCCTCCTGCGGCTGTCAGACCTGCGCCTGCGGCGCCGCCTGGATCTGGACATGTCGCTCTCGTCGCTTCTGTCGCCCTTGTCGCCGCCGTGCTCTGCGACGCCCGTCGAGGCCGCTGCCCGCGGGCCGCTCTGCTTCGCCTGCGTCCTCTTATCGGTGTACAGCTCGTTGCGCACTGCGGCCTCCACTGTCTCGCTCCAGGCCGCCTCCAATTGCGGCCTGTACGTCCACTCCCCGAGATCAGGGTTCCACCTCTTATCCTGCACATTATCTTCAATCTTTTTCGCGTCGAAGCCGTCGTGCGCCCACTTCCTCAGCGGAAGGTACTTGCCACCCTTGCGGACGCGCTCCTCCTCCATCCGTTGGACAGTGATTGAGCTGACCACGAAGGCTTCAATGCGATCGAGGTTCGACAGCCCAGGATCTTCTGCCAGATCCTTGTAGAACTGCTGCTTGAACTCACTCTTCATTTTGGCGAAACACTTTGGCGGCCACTGTCCGAACCTCCGAGAAAGGCGCACCCCGTTCGTGTTGCACGCGTCGCACTGGTAAGTCGACTGGCCCTTCGCCCTGATCCTGTAGTTGCACTCCTTTGCCGTGCGACAGCAGCGGTTGCAACGCACGATGCTATCCTCGATGCCATGCACATCCACGAACTCCCCTACCTGGGGAGCGCCTGCTGGCGGATCGTCCTGAGCTGCCTCCTCCTCCTCCGCCTGCGGCGCTGCCGCCTCGGGCGAGCGCTCCTCATTCTCAACCTTGGCTACCGCGCCCTGCGGTGGAGCCTCTTCCTCCTCAAGCTCACGCTTGGCACTCTCAAGCTCATCCTGTTTGACGCCGAGCTCGGAACCAATCTCGTCGCCGCGCTCCTCGGAGCCCGATGCCGCCTCTGACGCTGCGTCGTCCGGCTCTGGTGGCAAAGCCGCTGCGCCCTGAGGAGGCAGTTCTTCGGCGGGAGCTGCGGCTGACGCAGCTTTGCGAGCCGTCCTCAACGCTGCGGGGTGCTTACCTTTGCCCTTGCCTTTGCTTTTCCCGCGTGCCTTCGGCGGCCCTGCGTCGGTCAATGCGAGCGGCGGCACAAGCTGTCCAGTCAGTGTCATCTGCGTCCCCGATAGCTTAGCTTTCCCACGGGGCTTCGCTGCGGGCGCCTTGGTCATCACTCCCTTGTTTTTCGGCCTGGCTGCTCCGAACATCACTGCCAGAGAATGCTGCTGGTGATCTTCAGCGGGCGGCGTCCCCGCCATGGCGGCGTGGCCGCCTTGGCACGCGAGAAGCCGCGCGTCGCGCGCGGCCCTGATGCCAAGATGAGCTGGACGCGAAGCGATGACGAAGAAAACGCGCGGTAAGTGAGGCGGGATAGCCGCCAGCGGAATAGCCGCTTCAAAGGTGGAGGGAGGGGTGGAGTGAGGTATGAAGGGGGCGGCATATCCGCCAGCGGACTCGCCGCTTGAGAGGGTGCAGGGGCGCGGCGAGGGAGGCGGATTGGCCGCCAGCGGACTAGCCGCTCGAAGCGTGGCGGACGCACGAGGTGATACGGATACTGAAATGAATTGCGCGCAACATGACAACCACACAAAATTGACATCATGTTATCATATGTTATCATATGTTATCAGGCGTGTGATAACACCATGCTAACACATGATAACACCTGATGACATGTTATCAGGTGTTATCAGGTGTTATCAGGTGTTATCAGGCGCGTGATAACATCTGCTAACATATGATAACAGCCAACGTTTTTTGCCAGTGCATGGCGGCGGCGTAGCGGCACGTCCGCCGAGTTAGTTAAGCGGAGCAGCAGGGGCGGAGCGGCGCCCTGCGCTACCGACCGCGGACGGCGCCGCGTGCTTCAAACCGCTGCCTGAGCGGCAGCGAAAAGACGGGCGAGCGCGGAAGCGAGGCGCGCTGCCTGAGCGGCAGCGAAGAGACGGGCGAGCGCGCGCAATCGGGGCGCGCTGCCTGAGCGTCATCATATGCAAGGCGATGGGGGGGTGGGCGGACATGGCGATGCAGCACATCCAGAAAATAGCCGCACTCATTCTTATGCGGATGCAGTTTTCTCCACCCAGCCCTTTTGCCAAATCCCATCCAACCGCCCACCTGTCTTATCCGCCGAAGTTCCCTCACCTTCCTCCCGCTCCGCTCGTCCACTCGCCCCCATATCGCCTTGCATTGGGGGACGGCTACTCGGCCGCCTGCGTGGCCAAAATTCACCTCGGCGTGGCGGCCTTCACGAATTGAGTGCGGATGGAGTGTGTGGGGGTGTCCTAATTTGTTCTGACACAGGGGTGTGGATTGAAATTGCGTTGGAGGAGTGGGAGGGGGGCGTGTAGGGCCGACGCGTCGCGCCGCCTGCGCGAATGAGGCTACTGATGCTGAGGCGACATCAGTGCTGCCAGCCGTGCACCTGCACCTACGAGGTCGCGTTGCGCACCAGCCAGCTCGCGAGCACGTCCTCGCACTCGGCGATGCATTGCTCCTCTTGGCGGAAAGCGTTCACCGCGCGCTCCGCTATCTGGGCGCACATCTGCGTCGCAGTACGCGCGCGGCGCAACGAGTCGAGCACAGCCTGGCACTGGGTGCCGTTGAGCACCACGATGCTATCGGGCGACATCTGGCTGGCCAACGCCGTGGACATCCTCATGCCCGCCGTGGCTGACGAAGCTGCGCCTGACGATCCGCTGCCCTCCGAGAACGCGTCCTTCAGCTGGTGCGAGCGCTCCACGCGGGATTGTGGAGGGATTGGCGCCAGCTCGACCTTCGGCGCCCCCTTGCGCCTTTTGGCGGAGCCCCAGTTGGCCTTCTCCTCCTCCCATTGGCGCCACTCCGCGAGGTCGACTTCCCACGAGTCGGGCTCGAGTGCGACAGCAGCTACCTCCGCTTCGTCCTCGCTCAAGTCGTGGTACGGCGACACGCGAAGGTGGTTCACCAGCTTGTTCCTGGCCGCCTCCACTGTCTCTCCCTGGAACCACTTGCCGCCCCTTTTGCAGCTGCTGCTCTGTGGGCACTTGAAGCCGAACATGACGGTCTTCTCGCCCTGCTGGCCTGCCATGGCGGCAGGGCGAGAAGTGCACGGCTAGCGCAGGGGCGGCGTGGGGCGCGAGCCTGTGCGCGCCTAGATTCGAGCCGATACAGCGTCCCAACAACAAAAACATACATGTGTAAGAGGCGCGGTGGCATCGCACATTTCGGGATGCCAGCAGGCGGCGGCGGCGGTTTAGCCGCCAATGGAGGGCTCAGGGCGGCGTGGCCGCCAATGGGCGGTTTAGCCGCCAATGGGCGGCGTGGCCGCCAATGGAGGCTTCAGGGCGGTTTAGCCGCCAATGGGTGGCTCAGGGAAGGACTGGTGTTTTTTTTCCAACCGCATAGAACAAACCCGATGCGCCGATGCTCGTATCTGAACGGCGGTTGTCCGCCAGGCGGGGGGAGGCGGCGCGTCCGCCAATGAGATAGATCGGCAACGAAGAGAGGGGAGGAGAGATGAGATGAGACGAGGCGGGGAGAGGCGGCGCGTCATGACGCGTCAGCGCGGATAGCTGCAACTATCCGCGCTCGAATTACGGAAGCTATGCACCCCAGCCCGCTTGCAGGTCCACGCGATCACCCTACAAGAAGACATCTCGGCGGGCGGGCGGGCGCGGCTTCGCTGGCGGTGGTGCCATCTTGCTTGTCGGCTGCAGCCGACGCCCTGCCCTCGGCTGCACCATGCTGGGCTTCCCTGCTGGCGGCTGCCTGGTCTTCGGCGGCGGCGGCCCCATGGTCTTCGGCGGCGGAGGCGGAACTGGAGGGTTCATATTGCCAGTCCTCCACGGCGCCTGCTGAGGCATCGTCTTGGGCAAGTTCGGCGCCTTGGGCTCCCGATGCATCAGCTGAGGCTTGGGGACGTGCGCCTCGCGCACCCGCGGCGCTGCCTTGTTGCCGTGCAGCTTCGCGTACATCTCGCGCTTTGCGCCACCTCGGTTCCCCCAGCGCTTCGCATTGGCGCGCCACGCCTGGCCCTGCCACGTCTGCGGCCCGCCCATGGCGGGGCCAGGCGGGCCGCGGTCGCGGAACTTCTTGTAGTCGTACTTCATCTGGTACTCCTTGAGCACGGCGAGCACGTTCTCCGACCGCCAGTCGATGGGATTCCCAACGGGGTCGCTCAGCCAGGCTCGCAGCTGCGTCCTGAACGCCTCCACCGCGCTGGGATGCGCCTCCACCGCCTCGGGGGGCTCTTCCACCACAGGCGTCGCGCCCCGCATGTGCGACGCGAGCTCCTTCACGAGAGCCGAGGGCGGGAAAGGCCGCTGCCGCGGGTCCCGCGGCGGTGACGTCGGCCCCCGCCTGCGCGGCGGCGTCGACGGTGCCCGCGGGTGGCGCGGGCTGCGCGATCGCGCTGGCTGCGCCGCCAACGTGGGCGCGCTGGCTGGCCGACTGCCGCTGGCGGAGGAAGACCGATCCCCTGCGTTGTTGTCCACGCCCGCAAGGTCGGAGAGCAACTGCATCGCTGGCCCGAACATCTCCTGCGCCGAATCGCCAAAACAGTTCGACCGAGAGCGGCCAGCCAGTTTCGCGCGCGATGCGCGCGTCCCTGGCTACCGCACGCGGGGCCACTTGTTTTGGCGATGCAGCTGCCTCCAACGCGTCGAACGCGCTGTCGCTGTCTGCCATGGCCGCGGCCGCAGTGCGAGGCGCCGAGCGCGACGCGGTGGCTGCGGCGCAGCCTCGGCGCGCGGGCCCCAGCCCACGCGTCGGCGCGAAAGGGGGGGCCGACCCCGCGCGGGCTCGCGGGCACCCGCGGGCCGCGGGCTTGAACCGAAATGGAATCGGACGCGGAAGCGAGACTTCGGGAGGAGGGGGAGGGGGTTGCCCATGGACCCATTGAAGTCTTGGAGCTCCTCGAGCCCTCGGGGGCCTCTCAGAAAGGCCCCGCTGGTTCTTGCGACGGGGTCTCGGGGGAGGGGGCAGAGTGAGGGTGGCATTGGGAACCAGAAATATAAGTGAACTGGCGTCCCTTTGAATGTGCAGGTCTTGGTTCACTTGTTTTCGTCGTTGAACGGGCGGTGGCAACGTCGGTGCCTTCGCGCGCGCCCATGCCATTCTGGGTGAACGCCTTCGCCGTTCGAGCAGTGGGCGTCTCCCCGACGTTAGTTGGCGTGGGATCCAGTGCCTGACAGCGGAGAGGGGGGCGCAGGGACGTGGCGCGGGGGCGCGGAGTGGGCCGAGTAGGGGAGGGGGGCGGCGGCATGTCCGCCTGAAGGGCGGAGGAGCGCAAAGGGGTGGGGCGGGGGCGGCATGTCCGCCACGAGTTGGAAGGCGAGAAGGCTGCGCTACAAGGCGGCATATCCGCCACGAGGCGGCATATCCGCCACGACCTTTTTGTTATCCCGAGGCCGCCCCGTTGGCCTGGAGAGTTGAAGAGTCGTAGCGCGAATTACTCGCCGCGCGCCCTGGCGGCGAGCTCCTTCTTGACCAGCTCCTCCGCCTCCGCGATGGCCCTGGCCTCGGAGCGATCGGGCGCAACGAGGCAGCAGGGGGCGGAGGGGGCGTCGAGGCAGGGGCGAAAATGAAGAGAGCGCGGAGGAGGGCGTCGAGAAGGGCGTCGGTGAGAATCTGGCCTTGTCGGCCTCATCGCCCGCGATGTACTTCAGGCTGACGTTGCTGCCAGGGGCGCCGACCCTGC